TTCACTACTGGGAGAGATGGCTATGGTTAGGAGTGGCCTTCATCTAGCAGTGGATTGATCATTGCTGGTGGTGATGACACAGATGCTGTGACACTCAAATCTCCAGTGGCTGAGATGGAAGTATAGCCAGCAAGTTTTTGATCTGTCTGTGTGGATTTGTATGCTTGGGTTTTAAGACATCTGATTTCCTCTGGCATGAAAAATACTCATTCAAGATATGACCAAACATTCCAGAACAATCACTTTTGGTGCTCCACTAAGCAGTACATATACCGTCTTATACCAGCACGTTTCCACCAATGTTCACAGCACAGTGTGATCTGTGTGTGTGGTTCACTAACCCCACCTAAAGAGCACTGGGTTATAGGCGCGCACCACCACGCCTAGCTAAGAGGCACCCAGAACCAAGGATTGAACCGAGCTACTCTGGAGTTACCGGTTCAGCATCCTAAAGCAGGCAATCAACCCCACTGAGAGCTGCCCAGCCACCTCAATGATTACAGCAGCAGCACATGTTTCATACATTCATTTAGACTAAAGATTTACCAATCAGCACTATGATTAATGTGACTGCAGCCGTCAGAGGTGCAATCAACTAGCATTAGCGCGGGGAAAATAACTACAGACCCACAATACACTGGGGATTCACTCAGCGCTGACCCCCCCCCCACCCTGGACCCCCCACCGCCCCTTTTCACCGTCCCCTCTCCCCCCACCCCTCCCTGTAATTGATTGGAATCTCTCGGACCTTAGCCGTTTGAAAAACCGCATGAAGAATCTTGGTTCTCTGAGATTCGGTTATCTCAACACAAGTGCCCCAAGCTTGCACATCGATTGGCCTGAGTCTAATTACACGTTATAGGAAGATAAAAGCGTCTCTCCGCTAAAACAGGCAGAGAGGCGGTGATCATCTCTGTTGGTGACCCAGGCTCAGCTGTTAGGAATTCCATCTTCCTTCGGTGAGGGGGCCCACTTTCTCCATAAGACGAGTGGTGTCTATTTTATTGGCCCCTGGTGGATGAGTTGACTCCTCATCCATGATTGAAACTTGTGTAACTTTGCTATTCATGATTATAGCGCCGCCAGATCGAAGCAGGCAGGCAAACATCTGCCCACAATGCATTTCATCTGCCCAGGTGACACTGGTGTAATTCTCAACTCTTAATTGGAAGTTTAACACGTAGGCTTTCGCGACCAATATCATCCATAATATAGGTTTTGTGGGTTAGATCGCGTAAATATAATTGTGTCGTTAAACCCGCCACCACCCGGGACAGCCAATTCGCAAGGTTTGTCACGTAAACAATGTGCCAATTCGTGACTAGTTCAGCACACCGGTGGTGTGTTGGAGAGAAAATCAACAACATTACAATCTAAACAGAACATGCCAATTCGTAACTAGTACAGCACACCGGTGTGTTGGAGTGCAAATCTACAACATTATAATCTAAATGTTATCATTTAAATGTTGATTTGCTCTCCAACACACCGATGTGCTGTACTCGTAACGAATTGGTATGTTCTGTTTACGTGACAAACCTTACTAATTGGCTGTGTCTGGTGGTGGCGGGTTTAACGAAACATTTATATTTAACCCAAAAAAAACTATATTATGGATCTAAATTGGAAAATCACACAAGGTCAAATTTTGTCCGGTTTCATCATCCTTCCAAGGGCTGATAAAATATGCACCACTTTGTGGGACGTCAAGAGTGGCCATCGAGCAGAGAAAATTTCCCCACCTCTGCCGCCTTGGGAATGCGGAGTTTCCACCGCAGCAGCTCATTACTGCCGATGTACATGACCGTTATTGCCCCGTGCTTGCTTAAGCGAGGGGGGGGGACAGGCTGACTTTGAGTTGGTGAATTGCATTCCGCCCCGTAATGGCTTCAGAGTGTTGGGCAGCGAGACGGAGACAGCGAATTGGTTACTGCCGACGCCCTGGCATTAACATTCGGCACGGGTCCTGGGGCGCTGGGGAGTCAAACTAAGTCATTGGGACATCACGGCAATGCGCTTCATCAACGCCGCTGCTTATCGCGCACGCGCGCCTCTCTCGCCGAGACGTCGAGACGAGACTCGCTGATTCATTGACGCAGTGTCCTTTATTTAACCAGATGCGAGCCCGCTGAGATTCATTATCGCATTTGCAAGGGAGACTTAGATAGCCGTGTCTGCGTGCGGACAGCTATTGATTTTTGATTAATGTATTTTTTTTAAACAGTCCACTTGTGGATAAGCCGACTGGATAGCGCTGTTACTGTGCAGCGATAAACTGAGCCCATCATTCTGATGGAGATCATAAAATTAGTACCACGTTTTGGGAAATCTTCAGTGGTCGTATCTTGCATAAACAGGCGCCCGTCATAGGAATGTGGAATTTCTATCACGGGCTCATGAGAAAATGTTGTCAGCCACCACCACCACTATGTATGTTTGAACAAGTAAACATTGTGACTCATGTAAATTAAATAAATACAAATGATATATTTACTGTTATGGTGGCCAAGAGGATGCGTAGGACCATTATGCAGGTAGTTGTGGTCAATAGCTTGGTCCTTTAAAGCACAGGGCTTCCAATCAAGAGAATCACGAGTTCAAATCCTGGTCAGTACTCAATTCCCCAACATCACCATCAAAGACAAAACAAAGATTAAAGATCCCCCATATAGCCTAAGCAGACTATTGGGGCAAGTGCTGTTAGAGAGCACCTATGAAGGCCGGAACGACACACAAGGGGGTGGGTGGCCAAACACCATGCCTGACCGCCTTCGTCTCCCTAAGAGCGATATTTGCAGACCGCAACCAGGTACTGATTTGAGGCTGAGTCGACCTAGGGGAGGTCCAGGACGGGTTCAGATAATTGTCACTGGTGTTGGCTGCGAGTGGGAATCGAACCCGGGTCGCCAGGTTTGTAGCACAGCACGCTAACCGCTGCACCACCACTCCCACACCACCATCACCACCACCACCATGACACCAGGGCTGTCGCAATAACAAGTACCACCCATTGATGCAACACTACTGGCTGCGTCCAGGACAGCCGACTGTAGTTTCCGCCGAATTACTTCACGAGCGTTTCATTCCTGCCTAGGTATGTGGATTTTCCACCCCTTAATCAGAACCCCTGCCCGCTCGATTCAAATAAATGGGCGCTGGGGCATTCGGTGTTGCCCGGTGGTCGATACGACTGGACATCTGGAAAACTACTGGGCATCTCCGTAATACAGGTTTTTTGTCTGTCGCCTGATGAAGCTAGTTGTAATTACTGGCGAAACGTCGTACTCAGATTGTTAATGTTGTGGCTTTGCTCTCCAACACACTCGTAATGAATTGGCATGTTCTGTTTACTTGACAAACCTTACTAATTTGGCTGTGTCGGATGGTGGTGGGTCTAACGACACATTTATATATTTACGCGATCTAACCCAAAAAAAAACTGTGTTATGGATGATATTGGTCGCGCAATGCCTACGTGTTATTCTGGACATCTTTGACAAGGAGTTTTACCGCCCATCCGATTCCTCCAGTATACAGAAATATTCTGATTCTGAATAATGCCGGAGTGACAGCCAAAGGAGAGAACAGTAGGGAACGCGCCTGAGAAGGAAGTCCACCAAAAGGACGCAGCGATGGGATCAGCTGTTGCGCAGGTGCTTGGTGGAACGTTGGTGACTGCTTGGGGAGCGAGCCCTTCACCCAGCATTGGGACGATCGTAACCAATGATAACGGCGATGATGACAATGATGATATCGGGACTGCCAGTGACAGGTTAAGCGTCGTCGATCGCTTGTTTACGAAAGCGTGGTGATGCTTTGCGGCGTTCGTTACCCGTGACCCTTGCTCGTCACATCACCTGCAGTATAATTGCCTCCTGCTGCGGGTCGGGGGAGAGTGCGCATTTGGAGGCAGAGGCCAAGAGGGAAATGGAAAGTGAAGGTGGTCGATCTCGCCAGCATGAGGTCAGAGAGTTAAAATGACGAGACACATTTCATGTCGGAATTCTCAGTTGGAAATAGCTCGAATATCGTGAATGCCCCATGCACAATTTATTTATGTTAGTTTTTTTTTATTTGAACCGTGCGTGTTATCCTGCATTAATTAACCTGGACTCCTTCTGTGTTCTTCAGTGAGATCATATTGAGTTTGTAGGTCTGTATGTGCTTCACCTGCGTGTTATTTTGACCAACGTGTGTGTGTGTGCGCGTTTACATGTGGTATTTCATCTGTGCGTGTTCAAATGTGTGTGTGCCCACCCGTGTGTGTGTGTGTGTGCCTGCACGTGTGTGAATATTCATCTGTTAACTTGCTGACCAATGTATATGAGTAGTGTAATGGTTAGTGCAGACGCTAAGAACTTGGCGACCCGAGTTCGATTCCCGCCCACCACCAATAATAGTTGCGAATATTTAAATCGGTCCTGGGCCTCTGCTTTGTCGACTCAACCTTAAGTGAGAACCTGGTCCTGTGTGTAAACATTATCATTGGGGAGACAAAGGCAGCTGGGTACGGTGTTGGCCACCCCCCACCCCTTTTTGTGCCCTCCCAGCCTTCATAGGTGCTCGGTAACAACAGTCTGTTAAAGGCTACACTGGAGATCTCTGTCTTTGAATTTGTACAAAGTCGCCCTGCACGTCTTTGCTTTCCTAATATTTTACCTGGATATGTGTTTACCTGTGTGTGTGTGTGTGCGCACACATCTGTGCTTGTGTATGTGGACCACACATGGCCACCTGTGTCAGTTTGCCTGCGTGTATATTCACCAGTACATGTGTGGCGTGGCGCGGTGTGGTCGGGCATTGGCCCAAGGTGTTATATGGGGTCCCCCCTCCTTCCCACTTCCTCCGTTCTAGGTAGCCCAGTGCTTGGACACCACAAGGTGCAGTCACACTGCCTGTGCACTCGGTAACCACGCCATGTACGTGCCGACCTACGGTACGGTGCGCACATTCTCCTGTGTGCCGCGTTCACCCGCGCCTGCGTTCTCACATCGTTTCAGACGCGAGCGCTGGTGAGGAGGAGGCGGCGACTGCGGACGCGGGCACGGGAGACGACGGCTGCCCTTCGTCTTCGTCGCACGAGGCCGCGTGGGAACGCCCGTGCGAGGAGGTGGTGCTCGACTGCGTGACGTGCGGTCAGCGCGGAGCCTCCACTGCCCAGCGGCCGCTCGGCCTCATCGTGCTGCTCCAGGCCACGTCCGGTGAGCGGTGAAGACGGTACCCGCAGAGCCACCGCTTCCACCACCGCCGCCACTGTGAGGGCCGCTAGGCGTAGACGTGGGGTGGCGGTGTTAATTTCGTTAATGAAATCGGTGGCGAAAATATCCGTAAACTACGTGTGTATTCATTTGAATCAACGATTACCGCCAGTGAACAAATCAAGCGTGACGATGACTACAAGTGTCGCGCACCACAAAACCAGAGAGCGACTGACCGTGATGAGACAAGGCTAACAAATTTGAGTGAGAACACAGACTGATATTTACTTCTGTTACTAATATGGGCCGGGGGGGGGGTATATTCCGAGGGATTTACAGACTACGTGGGCAGCAGAGGAAAATGAGCATCATGTCAATCGGGGCTTCGATTGAATACCTTGGTTGCTGAAGTGGAGCGTGCATGGTGGGGAGTAGAGTGAGATGAATGGTGAGAGGTGGGAGAGTGCGTGGAGGGAGGAGAGCTGAGTGTGATGAGAGGTTGAGAGGTCGGAGAGTGCGTAGAGGACAGTAGAGTGAGATGAGAGGGGAAAGGTAGGCAGGGGCAGGCTGCTCAATTCTATATCTGTGTCTCTGCTTCTCTTCCCATGTTTCTCCCTTTTCTTCTCTCTGTCTCTTTCTCCATTTCTCTGTCGCCTGTTCACTCGCTGCCTCACTCATTCTCTCCCTCGAGGACCACTCCTGTCTTGCTTTGTCTCTCCCTATCTCCATTCTTTTATTTACTTATTTCCCCTCTCTTCCTCAGAGTTTCTCTCTATCTTTCCATCTTTCTTTGTCTGCATCTCTAACCGTTATTTGTCTTTCTCAACATGGCTGTCTGCCTGTCCACTGTCTCATTTGCTAGTTGTTTGTTTTCGTGCCCCCTCCTGTGTCTCGCGTCCTTCCTCCGTTCTCCCTTTCACTTGGAGTTTGTCCTTGTCTCTTCTCATTTAAGCTCTGAGGAAGCATCCATTGGTCACGTCCTAAGAGGCATTTTTATAAATCCATAATCGGGGCCCCCACCAAATGCCACGCTGCCCGGAGGGAGACGTTGAAAGGAGATGAGAGGGAATCCTGGCGTGCGCGCGTGTAATTGTCGTCTCTGCTCGCATTGAGCTGCTCGCATTGAATTCGCGTGCGTGAGTCACGGTTGTTTCGGGGGACTTTTTCTTCCTACTTTTTACATTTAAAAAATAATGAATGTCGCATTTTATGGCGAGAGCCATACGAGAATGGCCTTGCGTTCAGAGCTCATGCCTCGCTGCTAGAAGCCGCGAGTTCAAATCCAGGTCGAGGCTTGAGTCAGCCCGTCATGCCTGCAGGATTAATAAGATGAGCAGCGCTTTGTGGGACGTCAACAGTGGTTGTTTTGTGGATAGACTGCCCCCCGCCATGGGAATGTGTTTGTTTAACAGCACTTACTCCAACAGCCTGTGAGAGCTATAAGGGGGATCATGGTCTTTGACACTGGCATGGCAAGTCGCATGTCATCATCATCATCGTACGGTATCTGAACCCGGTCTGGGCCACGGCGAAAGGTTGACTCAGAGCCCGAAACATTTCTCTCTCCCCGCACAGTCCTGGGGCACCGGCGGAGGAGCGATGAGCGCAAGCGTCTGCCGACGCGCGAGGGCGAGTGCCTGTACCAGGATGACACCTGCGGCTCGTCGCATGACGTGCGGCTCAGCGTGTTGCAGAGACACTACCTCGAGGTAACGACGCACACACAACAACAACAACAACCGCCATTCGCCACTAAGTGGTGGTGACGTCACCACGACGCTTGTGCCAGGCCATGTGCACCTTGAGGCCACGTGAAGTGTCGAACGCCCGCAGGCAGGAGGTCACGGGGCAGACCCAGGTGCCACGGGTCGACTGACTGAGATGACTGGCTGATGCACCACCTGTGCCCCCTACTGTGCCAACCTGTTGTGCTTTAGCCACCCGGCACTCCGCTCGTTGTTGTGAGCGTCGCTCTTCCGCCCTCCGTTGTTGTTGGAGGGCGACTGCCTCCAACTGCCCAGTAGTGTCCTTCACGAGCCTCCTCCACAGAGGCCGATCTTGACACCGCTTGTACCAGTCATCGGCAAGTCCACTCAGCTCCACGTCCTCCTGTACCACATCGCTCCATCTTTTCTCTAGCCCGTGCCGCGCCCGTTTAGCCCTCTCGATCCGGCCGAACAAAAGCTGTTTCGACATGTGGTGGCTGGGCATGCGGGCTACTTGACCCAGCCAACACAGCCTTACCTGCCGTAGGAGCTCACCGATGGGACTTTGCCCAGATCTTTCAAGGATTTGTGAGCGCCTCACGCAATCCAACCTGGTTAAACCCAGGATGCATCGTAGGCAGGCTAGCCTAAATGTTTCTAACCGGCGAAGATGTTCCATTAAGGGGGTCCACGTTTCGCAAGCGTAGAGAAGGGAGGAAATGACCGTGGCCGAGAAGACCTGAAGCTTAGTGCGGAGCGACAGACCAGATAGCTTCCACACAGCGCTACGCAACCGATGAAAAGATATTACCGCTCGACTGATTCGGAGTGAGACCTCTGCTGTTAAACTGGAGCCGGTCATAAGCACACTGCCCAGGTATGGGAAACTCTCCACTCTCTCCACAACTGCCCCATCACCGATTGGGAGTTGTGGGGGTGGAGTGTCCGATGGTGCAAAATACCCAGGCAGGTGCTTAGTTTTGGTGGGGCTGATGGTAAGGCCCCATCTCTTAGTGGCACCCTCCAGTCTCAGCAGCAGCGTCTCGAACTCCTCCTTTGAGTGAGCAGCTATTACCAAATCATCGGCATACATAACGTGGTTGAGCAATAGGGAGCCATCCCTTGACCGCACCCGGGCATCGATCAGCCTCCCATTATATCTCTACCAAATGGAGATTCCCCCGGTACAGCTATTGAAGGCTTCACGAACTACGTGGTCAAAATAGATGTTAAATAATGTGGGAGCCAGAGGACATCCTTGTCGCACCCCAAGGTGTACAGGGAATCGCTCTGACTCCCGGCCACGTAGTTTTACCCGGGCCCGCTCACCATCATGAGGGTCCTTAATGATCGTGAGCAGGGGGTCAGGGACTCCAAAAGCACGAAGAACAACCCAGAGCCTAGGCCAACTGATGGTATCATAGGCCATGACCAGGTCAATAAAGCAGAGATTGTAGGTCTTGTTGGAATTCCCTACACCTCTGCTGTAGCAGACGGACAGAAAATATGGCATCTGTGCAGGACCGCCCTTTCCTGAAACCGCATTGGGGCTCCGCAAGCCTCTCCTCAGCGTGCCTGGCAAGGCGATGTTGAATAATCCTTGCCAGGACCTTTCACACACACACATGCACACACACGCACGGCTGTGCTCGCGGGGAGGTTGTGCGGGGACGCGGCGTCAGGGTTGAGTGCGGGCGTCACTCAAAGGTTCGAGGGACCACGTCCAGAGACGTAGAGAAAGACAGGTGCTGGGCAGGGAGGAATGAAAAAGGGGAAAAAGGATTGGAGGAAAAAACTACTGCTCAGCTATTTCACTTCCCCATATGTACCCTGTGCTTCGAATCCGATGGCCCGAGTTCAATTACTGCTCATGGCCAACACCAGTGACGATTATCTAAATCCGTCCTGGGCCTTCCGTAGGTCGACTCAGCCTAAAAAAATAGTACCTGGTGCGATATCTAAACATCGCCACAAAGGTGGCCGGGCGTGGTGTGCCATGCCGGCCTTAATAGGTGCTCGCTAACAGCACTTACCTCAACAGTTTGTTAAGGCTATACGGGGTTTTTTTTGTCTTTGCGTTATATATGCATGTGGAATGAGCGACTTCCGCGACACGTCGTGTAGAGGGTACTTCTTCTTTATTACTCACACTGGGCACAACACAGGCCAACACTAGATATTAACGTCTCTACTGGCTACACACAGCCGATCACTCGGCGTGGTACCATCGCCCTCACTCGGCTACACCGGTGACTGGCGGCGTGGCGATGACCGAAATGGAAACCACGCAGGAGATCTTCCACGTGGCCGGACGACGGAGAGAGATGTCGGCGAGCAGCGACACAGCCAGGACCTAAGACCCCACACACGAGCCCCGAGCCCCGGGTCCGCTCCCCCTTATATCCCCCCAGGCGTGGCTAGGCCCTGCCTCTGGCCACGCCCTCTCGTGGAAACTTCGAGCAGGTTCTCGGAGTATCTCGGCTAGCCCCACCTTATACCTTTGCCCCGGATACACCTCCTCTGATTAGTTGTTACTAAACCGTGCCCATACCCGTGATTCCCCTTCCAGGCCAGCAGGTGTCACCCTGTCATTACATATGCACACACATAAGATCCTCTATATCCTCTTCATAGCTATTCGATTTCACTATCCAGTATAGCCATGCCAGCCTTAATAGGTGCTTGCTGGGAGCACTTTCCCCAATGGTCTACAAGGGTAATTGAGAGGGTGGTGGGTCCTTGTCTTTTGTCTTTGCATAGAGCTCGTGCCTGCAGTCGGTCTCCGTGGGCTGGGAGGGGGGCGTGTACGTGCAGACGTGCGGGCACACCGTCCACCTTGACTGCCACAAGTCCTACATCGAGTCTCTGCGGGTGAGTCCCTCCTCGTCACGTGTCGCCCTTGTTTAGTAATAGTGGTCATGATTAGTTGTGCATCGTGTCGTCATTCACGCAAATTGCTGTGGAAACACAGATGAGCTGGAATGCATCACGGCGGTGAGCCACCAAATGAATGTTTATAAACGTGGGAGAAAACCAGAGCACCCAGAGAAAATACACACGTGTGAAGGGGCAGCACTCTATCCATAACAGAAGGGACAGATGACATTAGTCTGCATATCGCTGGACCGCTTTCTGCTGCCAAGCCAGGGTGTGGCACCGCTTCGACGTCCATGGTGGAGAGATGTTATCTCCCTTGCCTGGTATACAAGAGGTCACGGGTTCGATCCCGACGCTGACGCCTGTATCTTTGGGAGTCTGCATGTTCTCCCCATGGTCGCGTGCATTTTTCTCCGGGTCCTCCAGAGTATTTGGCTGCAATAGATGATATACCATTTCTTTGAGCTATTATTTGTGGGCAGGTTACTTCTGAAAAAGAGCTGTATAGTGCAGTGAGCCTTACCTTGTAAAATACAATAAAACATATATTTTTTTATTTTGTCCTCTCAACCCAACCCATAGCTATAACCCCAACCTTGACCCAAGTCCTGTCCTTATCCTTCGTTAACCCTGTCTTACAAAAGCCCTCCCCTGGACCTTGGCTCTTTAGTTCCAATACCACGTGGCCGTGCGACAAGAGTGTGAATTGAGTCGTCGCCATACTTTTGCTTAGCCGACGTCGGTTTTATTTACACACGCCGAGTGCCAGGAAGCATCTCCTGTGTCTCCCACCAACCCTATTTCCATCATCACTCCCCCACCTCCCCTTGCCCTCCTATCACACCCAACCACCCAATGCTTGTGCCTCCTCCTGAAGCCTTTCACATCGCAGCGCGTGCCCCCCCCCCCGCCTTCCCTCCCCCCCCGCCCTCCCCTGCCCTCCCTCCCTCCCCCAACGCCCCCATTCCCCACTCGCATACAAGCACTATCACAACGCCTCCGGCACTCCATTTACAGACGTCAGTTACAAAAACTGCGAATTAGATGAAATCGGAATTGAGATCGCGATGGCTGGGACTGCGCGAGCATCATCCCAGAGAGAGAGTGCGCAATGTCTGTGACGACACTGCCTTGTGACGTACGAGATTTCTTTTGTTCCCATTCAAAAATAAATCAATGCCATTTCGTTTTTGTTTTGTTTTTTGTAGCTGCGTAATGAGTTTTAACATTTTAATTCACTCATCGTACCAGCCAGATGGGCAGGCTCTAGAGACCCTCTCGAGAGCAGTGGTTACGAACCTGTGGTCCGTGGACTGCTGATGGTCCACAAGCCCAAGGGAAGTAGTACACTGTGGTGAGATTGTGGGTTCAGTTCTGACCCTGACACCTGCTGTGTATTTGGAGATTGCATATTCTCCCTGTGGTCGCGTGGATTTTCTCCGGGTCCTCCAGTTTTTCCCTCCACATTTAGAAACATGCGTTTTAAAGTATTTGGCTGATATAAATTTCCACATGATAAGCCACTTCATTGAGCTTTCATATGTAGCCTGATTGCTTCTGAAAAAGAGCTATATGGCTCAGTGGGCCTTACCTGCTAGAATAAAAATAGCTTAGTTTCGTTTTAGGCCGCAGAACCAACGCAGATATCTAATTTTTGTCACAACACATTGTACATTTACTTGCATGGTTGTCCATGAAAATATGTTAAGGGTTGACGGTGGGGCCACGGTTTTTGAAAGGTTGGGGACCACTGTTTTAAGAGGTTATTTTGACCTCTTCCATATTGGCCCCACGGTCGTGGAAGAAGTGCCCTGATAATACCTATTTGTAAACGACAGTGATAATGATGATAGCGTGGCGGGACCTGCCTTCTGTATGCGCGACTCGTTCCGTCGCGGAAGGAATTGCTTTTTTTTCTCCGTTTGCAGCAGCGAAAAAATAATAACGTCGTTACGAGCTAATTTACTTATTCAAAACGGCGCTGGGCTGATGGGAGATTGAGTTGGCGGGGTGGGAAGTTGGGCGGGGAAGATAACGTTTTAAAAAAAGTGTTTTATCATCAAGGAAGAAAATAAGAAAAATCACACTGGTTTTTCACCATTGTTGCCAATGTAGTGAGATGAGTAGTATTCTTGCGTTATTTTGTTTGGACTGCTGCGAGATGTCACCGTGTGTCGGGATGGGGAGGTAGACCTAAGTCTTTAAGTGCATCAGGTGACTCAGAGTCTTTAAGAGATCGGAAGGGATGTTTTGTCTCATAGCATGACACTGATAGTGAAATTCAGATGAAATTCTTGGTGGAAAAGAAGTCCAACAATCTTTTAGAACGTACTCACTGATGAATCCTAATAAGATCAAAACCTATCCAAGTAGGTTAGTTGGTAGGTAAGCAAACATGTGGATGTTTTGCTGGCAAACCAGAAAATTGGTTGGTAGTCGGTGAGCAAATAAGTTGGAAAGTAGAAAACAAAGTAGGTGGTTAGGTCACCTTACAGGTAGGGAGGCAGCATGCAGAAAAAGAGGTAGACAGACAAGCAAGAATGTAATTAGGTAGGTAGCAGTTAAGTTGTTTGACAGGCTGGAAAATCATTACGTAGGTAGGTAGTTAGACAAGATAGAATATCGTCTGGTAGGCAGGCGGTTTGACAATCAAGCTGATGATTAGCTATTTCGGTAGGGCGATCCATGGGTAAGTGCTTTGTCATATGAGTAGGTGGATAGGTCGGCAGACAGGCAAATTTGTAGGTAGGCAGACAGGCAGGCGAATAGGAGAGCGGTCAGACAAGTGCGTATACATGCAGGCGGCTTCATATGCAGGCGGTGACTATAGCTGTGTGGATTAGGAGGTGGTGAGCGCTGTGCGCGGGGCAGCGTGGGAGCCGTGCCAGCCTCGGCCGCCCCATTATCTCGCCAAATGAAGATGGATGCGCTCGTAGAGGCGCTAAAGATTTTCCCGTTAAGGAAGCGCCAGCGAAAGGGGCCATCATTTTCCCCGGGCTTTTTGTTGTTGTTATTGTTTTCGTGGCTGGGCCAAGACCTCCGGCGTTCGCTAACAGGGCACAGTCCTGTGTTTGCGAGTGTGTGTTTGTTTGCGAGTGTATTTGTTTGTTTGTGTCTGCATGTGTGTCTGTCGGTGTCTGCTTGTGTTTTGTCTTTGCATGCATGAGTGTGTGTATGCGTGTGTGTGTATGTTTATGAGTCTGCTTGTGTTTGCGTTTCTATGCATGCGTGTGGGTTTCTGAGTGCCTGCTTGTGATTGTGGATGTGCCTGCGTGTGAGTCTGGCTGTATGTGTTTGTGTCGGTTAGCCAGCAGTTTATGTACAATTTCCAGCCACAACTAACATCAATTGCAAGTTCTATGTGAAGCAATGGCCTCAAACTGCGCCTGGCACAGGCACTGTGGTGACGTCACCGCCACTTGATGGCAAATGGCAGCTATTATCTGTGTGTCAGTGTGTTTTTTGTTGTTGTTATCATTGTTGCTGGTATAGGCCCAATGGCTCAACATGTCAAGGAGCCAGCATCAAAAAGCACTTTTAAAGTTGTAATAGGTAAGTTAACACACTGCTTGAATTGAAGAAGGTTGTTATAAGACCTTGGGACATAGAGACAATGGGAGGAAATTATGAATTGGAGCAGTACGAGGGAATTGTTGCAACCTGCAGTGTGGTGGTTGAACCCAGTGTGGATGAGACGACACAGTCAGTGTGATAGCCCGAGCCTCAACATGGGTGGCATCAACGAGTGAAGTTCACGGTAACAGTAACCATGTTAGTCGTGATGGCAGAGTGATAAGCAGGTGACTGACTGACCGGCAGTGAGCGAGCGACTGGATTCAATCGTTAAGTTCTGGCTCATCAATCAAGCTGCATAGAATTGTTTATGTGTATTTTGATGTAATGGTGGTGCTTTGGGTGTCAGATTTGTGCTATACAGGCACCACCTGTTAGGCAAAAATGAATTGACTTGACTGAGCACATCACGTTGAACTCTGCCAGGTGCGTTGAGGTAGGAACCGGGTGCTCCGTCCCAGAAGTGATGACAGATTTCCAACGTTGGCCAAGTCTGTGTGTGTAAGCAGTTTTTGCGTGCGTGCGTGCGTGCGTTTGTGTGCATCAGAGCGACCACGTGCTGCAGAGCTTCTCGCTGGACAAGGGGGAGTTTGCGTGCCCGCTGTGCCGCCAGCTCGCCAACAGCGTGTTGCCGTGCTGCGGCACGCGGCCCCGCGGGGGGGCGTCACGCCCGGGCCCCGCGCGGCCCCTCCACGTGCTCGTGCGCGAGGTGCGCGAGCAGCAGGAGAGCCTGCGCGCTGCACTGGTGAGTCGCCACTAAACACGCCGCGGTGCCACACCGCCACCTCCGCATCACACCCCCCCACAGCATCGCAACAGTACAGCGCCACCACCACGGCACCGCGCCGCCACTTCCACATTGCATCCCCGCAACATCGCCACGGTACAGCACCGCACCGCCGCAGCACCGCACTGCTGGAGCACCGCACCACCGCAGCACCGCACCGCCACAGCGCTGCATTACACTGTCACCGCGCCACCGTGCCATCTCCATTGAACAGCACCGCCAGGGCACTATCACAGCACTGCCGCACTGCCGTAGCGCCGCATCACACCGCCACCGCACCGTCAGTGTCGCAATGGCACCGCCACGCCGCTACGGCACCGCACCTTGCGTCAAGGCACTGCACTATCGGTTCCCACCACTGACCAGCTGGTGCCTACATTGGAATCGGCATGCCTCACGATGCTAGATCTGGTCACCACCTTTGCGAGTGGAAAATCAAAGGAAGCCCAGAATGCGACTGCAAAGAGAGACCGTGTCCAATCCGTAGAGCGCAACGTGAATTATTGGACTTGCAGTGAACCCTAGAATGCATTGTGAATCGGAGAGCTCAGTGTAAACTACTGCCAAATTAATAAATAGCAGCAACAGCAGCTCGTGTAGCCTGACTTGAAGCTGCCACATGGGTCTTTCACACTCGGATATTGACATTTTTTTTAAGTTGCTATTCACTCAGCCGTACACAGGAAGGGAGAACTGCACTGGAAAGACAAAGCGCTAGCAAGGTGTTGCACCACCTAGACGTTTCACTGCCGAGTCACTGTGCCGCATTGTTCAGTACATGTGAAGTGCTGATAACGTCGCTGCACGACACTGCACGACACTGCACCGTCACGTGCGCTACATTGCGTTGCATTACACTGACAGGCCATTGCATCGCACCGCACTGCATTGCATTGGAAAGTCACCGAATGCAATGCTAGGCCACTGCACTGATAACTACGAATGCAGCCATTCATTGATTGAAACTGATTCTTACACCTGTGATACATGCATCGAAACGTGTGTGTGTGTGTCAATGATTTAACGATTTGTGTATGTTGTATGTGCCTAGTTCATGTGACCCCTTTAGTCATAAAGAGATATTCCACAGGCGACAAGGCAGATTCACATTGGTAACAAAATCCATTCTCCATTGTTCGTGGTACTTGACCTGACAAAATTGGCAACTTGGATCGCCCATTTGGTAAAAATGATGGACATGCTGCCTTGTGAAGATTTTCACCTGAAGACGGGCACTTGTGTTGCGTCCGAAACGTCGTGATTTATTTTGTTTTATTTCTACCTCCGTGACTTTACCGAAAGAACCAAAGAGTATGGATTCCTGCTGTCACGAAAACTTCTAATCAAAATTCTTTACTACTTCAGCACACCGGTATGTACAGTGAGGGGAAAAAAGTATTTGATCCCCTGCTGATTTTGTACGTTTGCACCCTGACAAAGAAATTATCAGTCTATAATTTTAATGGTAGGTTTATTTGAACAGTGAGAACAAAATCCAGAAAAACGCACGTCAAAAATGTTATAAATTAATTTGCATTTAAATTAGGGAAATAAGTATTTGACCCCTCTGCAAATATGACTTAGTACTTGGTGGCAAAACCCTTGTTGGCAATCAGAGAGGTCAGACGTTTCTTGTAGTTGGCCACCAGGTTTGCAAACATCTCAGGAGGGACTTTGTCCCACTCGTCTTTGCAGATCTTCTCCAAGTCATTAAGGTTTTGAGGCTGACGTTTGGCAACTAGAACCTTCAGCTCCCTCCACAGATTCTATGGGATTAAGGTCTGGAGACTGGCTAGGCCACTCCAGGACCTTAATGTGCTTCTTCTTGAGCCACTCCTTTGTTGCCTTGGCCGTGTGTTTTGGGTCATTGTCATGCTGGAAGACCCATCCACGACCCATTTTCAATGCCCTGGCTGAGGGAAGGAGGTTCTCACCCAAGATTTGACGGTACATGGCCCCGTCCATCGTCCCTTTGATGCGGTGAAGTTGTCCTGTCCCCTGAGCAGAAAAACACCCCGCAAAGCATAATGTTTCCACCTCCATGTTTGACGGTGGGGATGGTGTTCTTGGGGTCATAGGCAGCATTCCTCCTCCTCCTCCAAACACGGCGAGTTGAGTTCATGCCAAAGAGCTCCATTTTGGTCTCATCTGACCACAACACTTTCACCCAGTTGTCCTCTGAATCATTCAGATGTCCATTGGCAAACTTCAGACGGGCATGTATATGTGCTTTCTTGAGCAGGGGGACCTTGCGGGCGCTGCAGGATTTCAGTCCTTCTTGGCGTAGTGTGTTACCAATTGTTTTCTTGGTGACTATGGTCCCAGCTGCCTTGAGATCATTGACAAGATCCTCCTGTGTAGTTCTGGGCTGATTCCTCACCATTCTCATGATCATTGCAACTCCACGAGGTGAGATCTTGCATGGAGCCCCATGCCAAGGGAGATTGACTGTTCTTTTGTGTTTCTTCCATTTGCAAATAATCGCACCAGCTGTTGTCACCTTCTCACCAAGCTGCTTGGCAATGGTCTTGTAGCCCATTCCAGTCTTGTATAGGTCTACAATCTTGTCCCTGACATCCTTGGAGAGCTCTTTGGTCTTGGCCATGGTGGAGAGTTTGGAATCTGATTGATTGATTGGTTCTGTGGACAGGTGTCTTTTATACAGGTAACAAGCTGAGATTAGGAGCACTCCCTTTAAGAGTGTGCTCCTAATCTCAGCTCGTTACCTGTATAAAAGACACCTGGGAGCCAGAAATCTTTCTGATTGAGAGGGGGTCAAATACTTATTTCCCTCATTAAAATGCAAATCATTTTATAACATTTTTGACATGCGTTTTTTCTGGATTGTGTTGTTGTTATTCTGTCTCTCACTGTTCAAATAAACCTACCATTAAAATTATAGACTGATAATTTCTTTGTCAGTGGGCAAACGTACAAAATCAGCAGGGGATCAAATACTTTTTCCCTCACTGTAACTCGTGAGTTGACGCGTAGCAGCAGTGAGTTGTGTTGCATTAGCAGGAGGCTGGAACTCAGCCAGACAGCAGAGGGATCGTTGACCGGGCTGATGTTGTCTAACTCGCTGCACACGAAATCCCCAGTTCAGATTTGCACCCAGGATCACAGTGATTATTATTGTTTGTTTACTCAGCAAAGCCTCACGGAGTGATGATGGCTTCGGGTATTCCAAATGAGTAGTTTCCAAATAATTTTACAAACTTGGTAAATCTGGGCCTTGACGCTGGCACACAGTGGCCCACTCTTGCAAATGACGTCACGATTTATTTGAAGTCCTCCGTGAAGAGGACGGCACGTAGTATTTTTTTCCGTGAGTACACTCGCAGTAATGATGAGGGCAGCCGCTAGATTCGAACCGTGAACCCCCCCTACAACCACTGACCGATCCACTTTAAGTGGGTTCGGTTTGTGCGACTGTGTATATGCGGATAACCTGTTTCTACACAAAATTCGCCGTATTACGCGGTTTTAATTCATTATACATGTGACTGCGCACTCAGACGTGGGACAACACTGTGTGTATATGTATTGTGTGCGCTACTCAGCAGGCAGCTTCCTCCTCGTGCGGTGCATTGTTGGTTGAGTGACCGTGCGGTCCATGCTACACGAATTTGCTTTGTATGCCCCTTTTTTAATAAAGCATCTACCGCTTACAAAGCAAGGGAGACCTGAACTAAACTGGGATTACACTTAGCAGTCAGCGCCCCCTACTGGCAGACCGGTGCACACTTGAAGGCCGGTGCTGAATCACCTTGTTACGGTGCAGGGAACAGCTGTGGCAGGGGGTGCCCTCTGAATATTTGAGATGAATTGCAAGGCGCAAGGCGCTTTGAGTCTGGGTGGGTGCAGTTCATCACTGAATCTCGGAACACGCAAGTGGTTAGCGTTAATTTTATTTAGAGAGGCATAGCGCCGGTATTTTTAAAGACATTGTACTCACTGCAGAGAACTGTAGCAACACGACCGCACTTTATGATAGCTGGTGCCAAACTGTGGCGCATCCCCTACCGCATGGCCTTGTGGATGAAGTTATTTTCTTTTCGTTTTTCTTCCATTTCCCTTCTGATGACGTACATTTACACACATATAAAAATGGGAAAGGGTTAAGAAAGCACCATAGAAATGCAAGAGATGACTATTATTTCGACTAATACTATGATGATTCATGAGCCTAAATATGTTTCGTCTGAATTGTTTTAATGTCTTCTTGTCAGTGCCCTGGCTTCAAACCCAGGTTTCTCAGTTGATCTGGCTCAGTGACTGTAGCACAAGCCCAGTTCTCGCTCCACTGCCACCACCCACCCCGAGCCACCAGGCCACCTGTGAATTTAATGCATTTTGAAACCCGGCGGCCACTACACTGAAAGTAAATTAAGCCTAGAGAAATAACAGCTCTGTTGATATTCTAAACGTGGTTGCTTGCGTATATTAACATCTTGCCCTTTTGCAAGCTGCTTGTGGTTTTTGTGTCGGTCAGTGCACATATTCGGGGTGAGGAGGTCTCGGTGTGGGGGGGGGGGGGCACATGCACGCACGTGTGTGGGTTTGCACACACACGCGTCTGTGTCCCGTGCGTGTGTGCACGTATGCCCTTCTGTATCGCATGCGTGCATGTGTGTGTGCACACAAGCGTCTGTATCGCGTGTGTGTCTGTCACAAGCCGGACACAATGCCACCCACACTGCCCTAGGCCTACGATCCCAGCAAACCACGCTAGACCGTGGCGCTCAACTGCTTTGCAGCTGTTGATGGTAGACTGACAGAATGGGGTCTCTGGACTATGATGTGGGTCTGTGAATAATAATCAGAATTGGAATCTTTATTTATCCAGGAGGAATCCTGATGACCTAGTAAGCTCTTTTTCACAGATGTCCATTACACAGACCAGTCCATCTATATTGGATTTGAGACTGGTAGACAGACCAGCCTGTTTTCTTGTC